GATGATCTACTACTGGATACGTGTTTGCCTTACAAGGTGGAGCTATATCATGGGCATCGAAGCGACAAAGAACAATTGCGCTGTCATCAACAGTAGCGGAATATATCTCGATTGTTTCAGCGGTACAAGAATTTAGTTGGTTAAATAGACTCATTAATGAATTAGTTAAAGACACTAATAAGCCAACAGTTTTGTATTGTGATAATAAAAGTGCTTTACATATTGTGAAAAATAATTCTTATTCTGCACGTACAAAACATGTTGATCTTAAAATAAAGTTTATAAAGGACTATATCGAAAGCGGGGAAATAAATTTGAAGTATATAAACGCCGAAAATATGTTAGCCGATATATTTACAAAATGCGTTAGCTCTCCGAAACTTAACTGTATTTCAAATAAACTAACCCTAATATAAAGCTATTTTTAAAACTAATTTATATTAAATAAATGAAACTTTCATTATTTAAACTTATTGAATTGAATTTAAAACGCAAATCAAACAACTCTATTGGCATGTAAATATTAATATTGTTTTCGAACTTATAATTAAGAAAAATACATAAGCACATGCAATAAAGAAATTAGCTGAATGTAATTAAGAAAAATAAATGATTCAAGGAGGATGTTGAAGTGAATCTATTATTTTGTCAAACACTGTATTATATATATATATGTATAAGATAACAATGGTATAACATTTTTATGTTCTCTCTTTCTGCATATACAGATAAGGTCAGTGTCAGTATTGCACTCTATCCGTCATCACGTGTTCTAATTTCATCTGCGTCGATTACCTCCGGAGCTGAGTATAACGGTATACTTCTTTTTTTGGGGAATTAACAACTACAAAAGTTATTAAAGGTCAAGTTAAGTAATTTTTGAAATAAAGATTTCAAAGAGCTGTGTCACACCGTCAGTATTTATCAGTGTTGGCAAAATGTTAATCTGATTAACGATTAAAAGTTAACGATTAAAATGTTAATCGCGATTAACGATTAAAATTAATTAATCGTCATCTGTATGATTAATGATTAAATTTTTTAATCGTTAATCGTCGGTTGTGATTACGATTAATTAATTTTAATCATCAATCGGTAATCCGATTAAAAAAAATCTGATTAAGTGGTCTAGTTTGTCTGCATTTTAAATCAAATACCATATACGATTATTGTTTTCTGTTTGACGCTTATGAAAAACACATAATACTTATATAAACAAATAATAATTATAATTTGTATAACATAAACTGGGAAGTTTGACAACCCATGGCACATGTGCAGACAAATATAAAACCTAGTTTTCATAACGTCTGCTGGTAATAGATCACAATCAAAATGCATACCAAATTGCTTAGATTGATGAGGGAAACCGACTTAGCCATACCCGATTAACTGACCTTGTGTGCAAAAGACAATTCCAGCATAATAAAATTAAGGGTTAATGATTAAAAATTAATTTTTTTAATCACGGTTACGATTAACTATTTAGGGCCGGTTACTCAATGTCCGGTTAACACTAATCTCCGGTAAAATATCGTTATCGACGTCTACGACTCCATGCATACAACAGGGAGTCGGTAACGTCGATAACTATGTTTAACCGGGGATTAGCGTTAACCAGACATTGAGTAACCGGCCCTAAATCAGATTAAATTAAATCATGATTAACTGTAATTCGACTGAATTTAATCAAATTAACTAATTGATTAAAAAATCAATCGATTAGTGCCAACACTGGTATTTATTGACGTGATCCAAGTATAGCGATATTTATTGACGGTATGCAGTATTGATAGATCGTGATCCATAGAGCAAACTTACTAAAAATTCTGAAATCTGGATCGCGGATCGCGATACCGTCAATAAATATTGAACGTGTAGCACTTTCAAAACGCGATCCATACATTTCGTCAGTACATCTTTTACTCTCATAATACGAACATCGAAAACGTATTCGCTCTGCCTTCGCTCTCGGTGGTTAAAACCTTTCAAAAGAAATTGAAAAAATTTTAATTAACATTGGAAATTTTAACATAACTGTGGAATGCATTATCTGTAATTTATACGCACAAAATGGAAATATTTTCTTGCGTTATAATAAGTGTTCAGCACAAAAATTATGCAAATACTGACGCGGTAAATATTGAACATTTAGCATTCGTGGGCGATCCATCAATCCATCAATATGGATCGCGATCCACATATCGTGATAATTACTGACCGTCTGACAGGGCCCACAAAAACGAATAGATGGATTTTGAAAATTTTGATCTCATTTTATAGGCAATCTAAAAGGCCGTTCGCACGAAAAAAGTTTGAATGGCTAAATGTTGGCTGGCGACCAACTTTGTTGAAAGCGATTAGTTGAAAGGCCGTTCAACCAAAGTAGAATGCAAAGTTGAACAATGCAAACGCCTTTTTATGGCGAATATTTTGATACTTTTATATTTTTAGCCATTCAATTTTTTTTCGTGCAGCCCTGCGCGAGTTGAACGCAAAAGTTGCCTGAAAATTCGCCTCGTGCGAAAGCCTTATAACTCTCTTTAATTTGATATACGTACCTAATATATATATTTTAAATAGTTTTTACAAAAATTGAATTAAAATTAAAAAAATACTAAACAAATCTATACAAACCATTTTTTTTAATCACCTTATTTGTTATAAGATTGAGTTGTNTTTTATATTTTTAGCCATTCAATTTTTTTTCGTGCAACCCTGCGCGAGTTGAACGCAAAAGTTGCCTGAAAATTCGCCTCGTGCGAAAGCCTTATAACTCTCTTTAATTTGATATACGTACCTAATATATATATTTTAAATAGTTTTTACAAAAATTGAATTAAAATTAAAAAAATACTAAACAAATCTATACAAACCATTTTTTTTAATCACCTTATTTGTTATAAGATTGAGTTGTACAATTAAATGGAAAATTAATCAAGCGTTTATTTGATATACAGTATGCTGTCAAGAGTTCTCACTGTACAAAGTATTTATATAAAACAACCCTAGTCTGTCCAATACCGGCTACGCTATCCATATTATTTTTCAGGGACGTGAACCGGGCTTGAACCGGAAAACCGCTCTTTTATATTAATTAACTAAACCATTAACCGAACCGAAATTTTCCACAAATGTTTGATCCGAACCGAAAACCGAACCACTTTTTATAAAGGTTGAAAGGTTCGTTTCAACCAATTTTCAATAGATAAATGTACCCACTTTTTTCTTTTTGGTAAACATGGTAATACACACCATGTTTGTTTACCATGTGATAATATCAAATGTAAAGGCAACCCATCTCACTGGACAGACACTTGACCCTTAACCTTGCGCGTTGTTGCACTTGATACTTGACACTTAAACTTGCGCGTAATTTTTTTGTTTCTCGAACCGAAACCCCGGTTCAAAGACCAAAAAAACCGCTTTGACGAACCAATCCAAAAGTGCAAAAACGGTTCGAACCGCTGAACCGAACCGACAAAATTTTTCATCCGGTTCACGTTCCTGGTATTTTTTCACAAAACTCCTTTTTGCGTAGGCGGCCTTTGGCCTCGCTTAGGAATTGTAAACCTTACTACGCAGAATTCTCCTTTCTGTGTTGCTGAAAAAGAGGAGCTGAACTCCTTCTGCGTAGGCGGCGTCGGCCGCTCTTAAGCCTGCTATACAGTTCAATGTCAGCGTGAGCTTTTTATGTTGACAAATATCTTCGTTACTACTTAACTTTTTGCAATAATTGATACATAAATAGAGAATTAAAATATCTTTCAGAATTATAGAAAAAAAACTAATTTAAAATGCATAATATGCCTTTTTTCAAGCCCACTGTAATTGCGGCAGCGAATAGCACAAATATATTAAGAACAACCGAGTATTTTTTATTTTGTAAGGTTTAGCGTTTTAATATCTAAAAAATTGTTTTGGATTAGTACAATAAAAATTAGAAAATTATATCCCTTACTTATTCGTGCTTCTCCTCAGTCCTTCGGTTAGCGAAAAAGCCGGAAGAAGCCATTTTCATTCGAGTTCAAACATTCTCGGTAGAGTATAAAACAATGTTTAGTTACAATAGACAAAAGAAGGTTGCCAAATATTCATATTCAAATTCAAGTCTTAAACTGGTATAAATTATAGCGTGGTGCTCTCCACAACATTCCGCCCCCCGTGAACCGAAGGTGCGTCTGCAGTTTGAGGTTCACCGTAAACATCNCTCACTGGACAGACACTTGACCCTTAACCTTGCGCGTTGTTGCACTTGATACTTGACACTTAAACTTGCGCGTAATTTTTTTGTTTCTCGAACCGAAACCCCGGTTCAAAGACCAAAAAAACCGCTTTGACGAACCAATCCAAAAGTGCAAAAACGGTTCGAACCGCTGAACCGAACCGACAAAATTTTTCATCCGGTTCACGTTCCTGGTATTTTTTCACAAAACTCCTTTTTGCGTAGGCGGCCTTTGGCCTCGCTTAGGAATTGTAAACCTTACTACGCAGAATTCTCCTTTCTGTGTTGCTGAAAAAGAGGAGCTGAACTCCTTCTGCGTAGGCGGCGTCGGCCGCTCTTAAGCCTGCTATACAGTTCAATGTCAGCGTGAGCTTTTTATGTTGACAAATATCTTCGTTACTACTTAACTTTTTGCAATAATTGATACATAAATAGAGAATTAAAATATCTTTCAGAATTATAGAAAAAAAACTAATTTAAAATGCATAATATGCCTTTTTTCAAGCCCACTGTAATTGCGGCAGCGAATAGCACAAATATATTAAGAACAACCGAGTATTTTTTATTTTGTAAGGTTTAGCGTTTTAATATCTAAAAAATTGTTTTGGATTAGTACAATAAAAATTAGAAAATTATATCCCTTACTTATTCGTGCTTCTCCTCAGTCCTTCGGTTAGCGAAAAAGCCGGAAGAAGCCATTTTCATTCGAGTTCAAACATTCTCGGTAGAGTATAAAACAATGTTTAGTTACAATAGACAAAAGAAGGTTGCCAAATATTCATATTCAAATTCAAGTCTTAAACTGGTATAAATTATAGCGTGGTGCTCTCCACAACATTCCGCCCCCCGTGAACCGAAGGTGCGTCTGCAGTTTGAGGTTCACCGTAAACATCTAAGACCGCGAGCTTCGAGGCAGGTCTACGTAAATTTCCGGATGATGTTTTAACGAGGGCCGACCTTACTTGACCATCAGGAGCAGGATACACTTCCAGAACTATGCCGCGCTTCCATTCGCCTCTACTTTCGTTGTCGTCACATATGATAACTACGTCGCCAATTGCAATTGGTTTAACTCTTTGATGCCACTTAGTGCGCCTGGTTAGAGTTGGCAAATACTCTAACATCCACCTACGCCAAAAGGTTTGCTTCAATTGCTGAACGACTCGCCACTGTTTTCGTAAGCATACCGCCTTAGAGCAATCTGACGTTTGAATATAGTTAGGACACCCTAAAATAAAATGGTTAGGGGTCAACGGGTCGGAATCAACACTTTCAATTGGTATATGCGTAAGTGGCCTGGAGTTAATTAAATTCTCCGCTTCAATAAGCAAACTTTGCAGAGTTTCTATTTGCGGTGCCGCTTCCTTCAATGTGAATGACAAGACTCTTTTTACACTGCGAACCATACGTTCCCACGCCCCACCCGCTGATGGATTTGCTGGTGAGTTAAATACCCACTCGATTCCACGACGAGTACACTCCGCTTCCAAATCATTTTTAAGACAAATCCATTCGACTTTGCTTGCCCCCACGAAGTTCGTACCCCTGTCACTGCGTAGGCGAACTGGTATTCCTCTGCGATTGACAAAGTTCCTTAAGCACAGAATAACGGCGTCAGTTGATAAGTCTCGTGCTACTTCCAGATGAATTGCTCGTATTGTCAAGCAAGTAAATAGAGCCACCCATCTCTTTTCACGACGCCGACCTATAGATACCATTATCGGCCCAAAGTAGTCAAGGCCGGTGTACGAAAACGGTCTAATATACGGTGTTAAGCGATCTTCTGGGATTTGTCCCATTAACGGAGTCTTTGGAGTCGCTCCCATATTTTTACAATGCTGACACTCACGTTTTACAGATTTTAGAAGACCTCGAATGTTTGTTATCCAGTATTTACTTCGGATAGCGCAGATGATGGATTCTTGATTCTGATGATAGTACATTTCATGGTAGTGACGTGTTATGAGGCGTGACATCGGATGATCCCGTGGCATGATAATTGGTCTCCTAGTATACATTGGCAAGGATTCAGCATGGTCTATGCGGCCACCCACTCGTAGAATTCCTTCATCATCGATCACAGGCGTTAAATCAAAAAGTGAACTGCGATTAGAAAGCTCCTTGCCTTCGCGTACCAATAAGACATCCTCGGCAAAAGCGGTCATTTGCACCAATCGTACAAGCATGAGTTCGGTCTTCCTCACCTCATGTGCTGTGATTTTAAACACATCTTTCGTAGTTGCATTCTTGTGGAAATATGCGAGGAACTTAAAAATCGCGTACCTTACCCAAGTCATAACTTTCAAAAATGTATAATAATTAGAGTAGTTTGCAAATGGTATGACGTCAATATCCATTTGAACTGTAAATAGCTGTTTTGGTCGCTTTTCTTCTTCGCCTACAACTTCCGATTCGGAATTTGGTAGGACGGGCCAGTGATCCTCAGATANATTGCTGAACGACTCGCCACTGTTTTCGTAAGCATACCGCCTTAGAGCAATCTGACGTTTGAATATAGTTAGGACACCCTAAAATAAAATGGTTAGGGGTCAACGGGTCGGAATCAACACTTTCAATTGGTATATGCGTAAGTGGCCTGGAGTTAATTAAATTCTCCGCTTCAATAAGCAAACTTTGCAGAGTTTCTATTTGCGGTGCCGCTTCCTTCAATGTGAATGACAAGACTCTTTTTACACTGCGAACCATACGTTCCCACGCCCCACCCGCTGATGGATTTGCTGGTGAGTTAAATACCCACTCGATTCCACGACGAGTACACTCCGCTTCCAAATCATTTTTAAGACAAATCCATTCGACTTTGCTTGCCCCCACGAAGTTCGTACCCCTGTCACTGCGTAGGCGAACTGGTATTCCTCTGCGATTGACAAAGTTCCTTAAGCACAGAATAACGGCGTCAGTTGATAAGTCTCGTGCTACTTCCAGATGAATTGCTCGTATTGTCAAGCAAGTAAATAGAGCCACCCATCTCTTTTCACGACGCCGACCTATAGATACCATTATCGGCCCAAAGTAGTCAAGGCCGGTGTACGAAAACGGTCTAATATACGGTGTTAAGCGATCTTCTGGGATTTGTCCCATTAACGGAGTCTTTGGAGTCGCTCCCATATTTTTACAATGCTGACACTCACGTTTTACAGATTTTAGAAGGCCTCGAATGTTTGTTATCCAGTATTTACTTCGGATAGCGCAGATGATGGATTCTTGATTCTGATGATAGTACATTTCATGGTAGTGACGTGTTATGAGGCGTGACATCGGATGATCCCGTGGCATGATAATTGGTCTCCTAGTATACATTGGCAAGGATTCAGCATGGTCTATGCGGCCACCCACTCGTAGAATTCCTTCATCATCGATCACAGGCGTTAAATCAAAAAGTGAACTGCGATTAGAAAGCTCCTTGCCTTCGCGTACCAATAAGACATCCTCGGCGAAAGCGGTCATTTGCACCAATCGTACAAGCATGAGTTCGGTCTTGCTCACCTTATGTGCTGTGATTCTAAACACATCTTTCGTAGTTGCGTTCTTGTGGAAATATGCGAGGAACTTAAAAATCGCGTACCTTACCCAAGTCATAACTTTCAAAAATGTATAATAATTAGAGTAGTTTGCTTTTCTTCTTCGCCTACAACTTCCGATTCGGGATTTGGTAGGACGGGCCACTGATCCTCAGATAGATTAAGATATGAAGGGCCACTAATCCACCTAGAGTTCGATGAAACTCTAACTTTTTGTGGTCTTGTTGCGTCATCTGCAGGGTTTAACGAGCCTGGCACCCATCTCCACTGTGAGACCTCAGACGATTGGAGGATTTCAGATATTCTATTACAAACAAATTGCTTGTAACGTCGCGCTTCGGACCTAATCCATTGAATAACGGTCTTCGAATCTGACCAGAACACAATTTTATCTGGTTGTACAGTGTGGCTGCCTAAAATCACACTCTTAATTTTTGTTCCTAGAACCGCGGACTGAAGCTCCAGACGTGGAATAGATAGTGGCTTCAATGGACTGCAGCGGGACTTTCCAACAATGAAAACTATTTCTACCTCGTTTGCATGACATATACGCCAGTAGGCCACGGCTGCGTAGGCAAGTTCGCTTGCATCGACGAATATGTGAAGCTGAATCTGCGTTGAAGGGTCTGTGAAATTCAAATGATAGCATCTCGGTACGCTAAATTCAGACAGCGATTCTAGCGACTTGTACCACTGGAACCATACTTCGTGAATCTCCCGTGGAATTGCTTCATGCCAGTCAACGCTTAACTGCCATAATTTTTGCAGAAGTATTTTCGGAGCCAAAGTTATGTTGGATAGAAACCCGAAGGGATCGAAAATGGACATGATAATCCCTAACAACTCCGCTTTAGTTGGACGTCTACTGCCATCCAAAACTTGATTTGGAATTCTCGCAAACATTAACTTAAAAGAAAAAGCATCACGATTCGGATCCCAGTGCATGCCCAGAACTTTCTCGCAGTCTGATTCACCACTACACATATTTTTTGTAGGACTCTCAACTGGCATTGACGTGTCGTAAATGGCTTGCAATAGAGCATTTGAATTCGAAATAAATCCTCGAAGTTCAAAACCTGCTTCTTGATGGATCGCGACTACCTTCTTCGTTACGCTTATAGCCTCATGTACGCTAGAGAAACTGCCAACGTAGTCATCTACGTAGTGGCGATCGATAATAGCTTCTACTGCTCGCGGATACTCGTGCAAAAACTTACTCGCGTTAAAATTTTTTACGTATTGTGCCGAACATAACGAACAAATAGAGCCGAAAATCATTGCAGTCATAACATAAACATCGGGTAACTTCGTCGGGTCTCCTTCTCGCCAAAGGAACCGCTGAGAATTTTGATCGGCTTTACGTATGTTAACGCGATGGAACATTTCGCGGAAGTCCCCACAGATAGCAACTTTCCCTTCTCGAAATTTAAATAGAATTGACTGCAATGATTTGGGATGATATGAGTCCGGTCCCTTCATCAGTGCAGAATTTAACGAGATCCCATTAATTTTGGCGGCAGCATCAAAAACTAGTCTAGGTTTGTTACCTTTATTTATATTGTACACAGCGAAGTGGGGCAAGTACCATGTTCGCTTATCTACCCATTCGGCTTCATCTGCAGTTAATTTCCGAGCATAGCCCTTACTTACATATTCATTTAACTTTTTTCTGTACCAATCTGCGTAATTTTCATCTTTCAACATTTTCCTTTCCACAATTTGAAGACGCTTTAANGGTACCATGTTCGCTTACTTACTTACATATTCATTTAACTTTTTTCTGTACCAATCTGCGTAATTTTCATCTTTCAACATTTTCCTTTCCACAATTTGAAGACGCTTTAATGCCATGCTGTAACTCTCAGGCAGAATCGCAGCGTCATCCTTCCATAAAAGTCCCGTCTCATATCTACCTTCAATAAATTTTGTTGTTTCTGTAAGTATTCGTTCAGCCCTTATATCACATGCAGACTTTACGGGAGGCAGCGTACTTCTTTCAAAGTTTTCTACCTCAAAAAAATCAGATACTGTCTTTTGCAGTTGACTTAGTGCGCTGTCGTCAATATGTACATGACAAATAGTTGTGTTGTGTGTTCGGTTTTCATTAGAGCCGAATATCGTCCACCCCAGTTTCGTTTCATGTGCCGTAAACCCTTCCTCAAAGTTAACAACACGCAATGGCCTAGCTAAATTTGTGTGAGACACCCCTATCAAGACATGTGGCATAGCGTTCGTATAGCTTACAATTGGAATATGGCTTAATTCGTCGTATTTTTGTTTAAAGTTTTCAGCGCACAAAGTTTGTGGGGGCAAAAGCAGCTTTTTAATCGTGCGAACGTCTTTCATATGAAATCGCACTGAATCGTAAACACTCGATACTTCAACATCCACCCGTTTTGAAACTTCAGTAGTTGTCTGATCGTCAAACCACTTCAAGCGCAAGAAGTCAGCGATTCCTTTCAAACCAATTTCATCAGCTATACGCTCCTCCAAAAGAGTGACTTTGGCTCCATCGTCAATAAATGCCATTACACGTACGCTACCCTTGGGTCCATACAGTTTTACAGGCAAAAATTTAAGTAAAGTTTTATCAACAATGCTTTTGCATACATCTGCGTTTCTTTTGTTTATTTTGCTCTTCTGTTTCTCATAATCATTTCTTTCACATACATTTACAGTCGCAACAGCTGATTCTGTTGGAGGTGAGATGCCATCTTGAACTGTTTCTGAATTAATTTTATGAAGCAATTTATTATGATACTTGCGGCAAGATGCCACACCACATTCACGACGATGAGGGCAATTGTACATGCTGTGATTTGCGGAAAGGCAACAAAAACACAAGCGATTGTTTTTGACGACCTCCCAGCGCTCATCATATCCTGCCTCTTTAAAATTAGAACATTGGTACAATTTGTGATTGGATTTACAAAGCTGGCATTCATACTTTTCTTTACTTATGGTTAACACTTGTTTCGCAAATCTATTACTTTTTTGTACCAGCTGATCTGTGTTTACATTTGATTTTGACGTATTAATTTCAGTAGCCATGGCGATGTACACAGACGTTTGTTGCAACCAGATACTAAATTCCTGGATAGTTGGATACATTTTATTAATTGAAAATATATGGCGAGCCCAATCTTCGCGTTTGTTAAGTGGTAATTTACCTACAAGCTCCTCTAATAGTGTTGGATTTGAGAGGTGAGGCAAAGCACCGGCGTTTTCCAGAAAAGCAACAAGNTTCTAATAGCGTTGGATTTGAGAGGTGAGGCAAAACACCGGCGTTTTCCAGAAAAGCAACAAGGTTGGATACCATTGTGGCGAGATTCACGATATCGCTGTAATTTTTGCCAGTGATAGAAGGAAAGGCTCGTGCCTTAGCAAGCTGACTCCGGACTAATATCTCAGGGCGACCGAAGTGAAATTGAAGCGTGGAAATAATTGCATTTACACTTGAAGGGTGAATTAATAAAGACTCAACCGTATTACGTGCGTTTCCTTTTAAACACTTTTGCAGACGTTGCAGGTTCTCGAAATTGGTGTAATTATACATCGTGGTGGTTTCNCCTTTCGCAAATGTTGTTTAATATGCGACGGTGGGCAAATCGTTTGATTATTCGTAGGCAAGGGGTACGAACCGTATAAAGAGGCATTTCTTTCGAAGGCTAATTCGGCAGAGTCGGCATTAGGGAAGTAAAGTGATGAAAAAACTCTTTTGTACGCAATTGTTGTTGTCAGCTGTGAATTGCCAACTTGAATTACACAGACGAACGAGAGCACAAAGCGTGTTTCCCGAGTACGGGCGACTCGGTACCCGTCCCCTTTCCTCGTCGGTCTCTCCCCGCCAAGCTTCGAGTTTCCGCAACAAAAGTTTTCGTGTCTGAACGTCGACTAAACAACCTTGGGTGAATTTGGCGACTGCATTCCTAAGAGGGCATTCGCACGCGGCGATTTTACAGGCAACGAAAGTTGAATGCGAAGTTGAATGAGAAGTTGAAAGTGAAAAAGTTGGCATCCCTATTCAGACGAGGCGATTTTCAATTCAACACGAATTGTTATTTACATTATTGAAAATGAATTTAAAACGCAAAATTTTATCAATTGGCGTAAATTTGGTAAGCCAAGCGTTGGTAGAAGTGCTTTTAACGAAGCTGAAAGATAAAATAAAAGTAAAAAAGAAAAAAGTATGTATACGGAATGTAAACAAACACAGGGTTGCAAGGAAAAAAAGTTAAACGAGCCCAAAGTTGGCTGGCGACCAACTTTGTTGAAAGCGATTAGTTGAAAGGCCGTTCGGACGAGGCTTTCAACTAAAAGTTGCCTGAAAAATCGCCGCGTGCGAAAGCCCTATAGCTTATAAGCACGCAGGGTTGCTTTTGAGAAACAAAAAATAATTAACTCCAAACAGTTTCAAAAAGTACAGTGTAAAACGAAATTTATTGAATAATTCCACATAAAATGGTATACATAAACGACTAATTTTTTAAACGATTTAAATAAAACGCATTTCATAACCTTATTTGTGCAAAAGGCCTGTGCCAATTGATAAAAAAGTACTCCGGATTGCAAATTTTTGACAACTATGAGGTAAATGAAAATTTTCAACCCGCTGGTGAAAAATATTAGAGCAAGAATTACACCATGGAACTTTTCTACTACTTGATATCAAATTACTATCTCAGCGCTCGGAGCTGAAAATTTAGAAAGATCCAACAAAAATTTTGAGATTTCTTGTTGTGAATACGAACGTCATAATTTTTACCTAGCTCGTGGAACCACGCAAAATTTTGACAGCTTGTAATTATGTATACACTTAAAGTTGTTGGCGGTAATAAAGAGTCAAAATCCAAATGGAGTCTGGAAAAGAACAAACAGGGTACGTTAGTTGTCAGTTATAAAATAAAAAAAAATTATTTGCGAATATTTGTTAATTCTATTTATTGAAAGGGAGTGCAATGGGGTATAGTCGTTGCGCTGGGTATGCAGTTACAGTTGCATGGCTTTACTCAATCCCGACTCTTGCGTCCTCGTTCGCGCACTCTGGAAAGAGCGGGAGCTTCGATGGGGCCACTCCGACTTATTCGGTTTAAGGGCTCACTCAAGTCTGCAGCGTCATTTCACCAGTAGTTGCGGCTGCAAGCGGCTCGCTGTATAAAGGTGTATTTGGTTGCGAAACCACCCCCGTCCCAGCAATGGGTTGTGCGCTGGGTTTGGGATCCGCCACGTAAAAACCACCTCCAGTTAAGAAGCAAGGCAAAGCCTCGGATGAGAACCCCCCTTATGATGACGACCACGGCAAACGTTTAAAGGACTACGATTTGAATGCATGCACCTGGAATGTCCGGCCCCTTAATGGGGAAGGTGCCTCTGCCCGGCTGGTTGATGTCCTCATAAGGACAAAAGCTGACATCACCGCCATCCAAGAAATGCGTTGGACGGGGCAAGGCAAGCAATATCTGGGGCCTTGCGACGTCTACTACAGCTGCCATGTAAGGGAGCGCAAATTCGGAGTTGGATTTGTGGTGGGAGAGACTCCGTCGCCGAGTACTGTCGTTCACCCCGGTGGACGAGCGTCTAGCCACAATCCGCATTAAAGCGAGATTCTTCAACATCTCGTTCATCTGCGCCCATGCCCCGATGGAAGAGAAGGATGAGGCATCCAAGGATTTCTTTTATGAGCGCTTGGAGCACACGTACGAGCGCTGCCCCCGTCATGATATCAAAATCGTGCTTTGCGACTTCAATGCCAGGGTGGGCAAGGAAAGGATCTTTGGAACCACCGTCGGAAAATTCAGCCTACACGACGAAACGTCCGACAACGGATTGAGGCTGATCGACTTCGCCGGGGCCCGAAACATGGTGTATGCAGTACTAGGTTCAAGCATCAAAAGATCCATCAAGCTACGTGGATGTCCCCGGATCGAAAAACGAGAAACCAAATCGATCATGTTGTGATAGACGGAAGGCACGCTTCCAGTGTTTTAGACGTACGCACACTCCGAGGCCCAAACATCGACTCGGACCACTATCTTGTTGCAGCCAAGATACGCACCCGTCTCTGTGCAGCAACAAATGTGCGCCCAAATATGCAAGGAAAGCTTAACGTCGGAAAGCTGCAATCACAACAGACAGCCACTGCTTTCGCTACTCGACTCTCACACCTGCTCTCAGAGAGCACTCTTCAACAAACCGACATATGCGAGCAGTGGAACCACCCGCTCGTTAAGTACCGCCGCCGAAGAAGTAGTCGGATTTCAGCGAGCCCGAAAGAACAACTGGTACGATGAGGAGTGTCAGGAAGCGCAATAGAAGAGAGAGACCGAAATACGTGAGTGCGAAGAGCTTCAAATGCTGGCCGACAGGAAGAATGCCCGAAAATT